TCTTATTTTATATTCTTTAGTTCATAGGACAGTGCTAGCATATTTACCACCATGAAGTACCAGAGGTAGTAGGATGACTTTGTAAAGCAAAGAGGTTAATAATTTGTCAAATTTTGGAGGCTGAAAGTCTACACTAAATGGCACAAGCTGTGGTGGTGGCTCTGTTTGGCTGCATGACCTCATGGCACTTGGCAACGGTGGATGTGTGTATGGTGAGAAGAGAACATGTAACCAACAGGAAGCCGAAGAGGTGGGAATTGCACAAGCCCTTCATGGGCCACACCCACAGGGACCTAGAGACTTCCCCACTAGGCTCCACCTCTTAAGCATCCATCGTGTCCCATGGTTAATGGTAGGACTAAGTCTCCAACAGGTGAACCTTGAAGGACATACCTCATCCAAACTATAGCAATGTTATGAAGATAAACGACATTTGGCTAAGCATTTTAGTAATTCTGAATTTTCTCATCCATCAGAGCCACGTCTTGTAGTGCATGTCAATGCAAAAAGTCTGCATGGATAACCCAACTTTTATAATGACAAGTGAGGTGAACCATCGTTTGTGCTCATGTACAGGAATGAATGTTTGGATTTTGGCCCTCTAGATATCCTTTTTGTTCCCCTGTGAATATTTGAAATTTGTATTCTAAACTTGTGTTTGTAAACAAGTACTTTACTGAACTACATCTATTCTGTCTTTTTTCTTTAAAGTATAAATTCCTGCTATCCATTCAGCTTTTGTCATTTTCACCAGCTTCTTCAATTCATCTGGCTTATATCTCTTTGTATTTCAGGGTGGTATATTCTGGGGTTCCCTAAAAATTAAACAATGGCCAGATGGTTTAAGCTTAAGTGTGTTCTTCACAGGGGTGAACAAAGTGGGGACTGTAGGCAATTTTAAAGAAAGAGTAGCTTTTAAAATTCTTTAGTATATTATTTTTAGGATAGATGAAATTACTCTATGAAAAGACAATAGCCTGAGTGGGTCAAAGTTCGTCTGGGCTTCTGGTGTGACTTCAAATCTAGTATTTTTGAGTCTGAATTAATCTCTTGAATCCAGCCCTTAGATTAGGAGAACTTCAGTGAAACCCCCTTCCTGTGTTTCTGGAGATATATTAGTCAGTTTTCCATTGGTATAATAAATGTACATACATTTATTTCGTTCAGGGGTTTGGATACTAAAGTCCAAACAGCCTGAAGCCGGCTATAAGGAAGACCTTAAAATAGAAGGCATCATGACAGGATTGCATGCAAGAGGGAGACATCACATGGTGAAACACGAAACCAGAGATGCTGGGGACGGATTGTCATACTCCTTTGTAGTAAGCCTCTTTGGAGAACCAACCAGAGTTCCATGAGAACTGCTTCATTCCCTTCCAAGTGCTGTACCCACAGTGACCAAATGAACTCCCACTGGCGCCATCTCTGGGAGGCTTTCTCACCTCTTAACATCACAGCACCGAGGGCCAAGCTTCCAACACATGCACCCTTAGGGAACCTATTCAATCCATGTTCAAAACCACAGCAGGAGGGAAAGGAGGAAATAAATGAGGGGTATGAGAGTGTCAGAGAACCTGGTTCTCTTTAGTTTAAGTTCAAAGCACTCAGTACACTACTAAAGTGCCATACTTTGGAGTATTGTTTCCCAAACCCCAACACTGTTCTAGAACCTGCTGAAAACGATGTTTTCCCCTTTCAAGTTTTGAGACACACACACACACATACACACACAGAGAGAAAGAGAGCGAGAGTGAAAGATAGAAAGGAACACATTTTATTATTCTGAATGCCAAAGGTAAAAGAAATGGTAGCACTAATCACAGATCAATTAACTGAGTACTATATAAACTGCAAAGAGCGTATTACAAGTTGAAGAGGGTACAGTACCAATTATACCATTATCTCACCCCACTCTCCAAATGAATAGTCTGAAAGCCTAAAATTATAGTTGATGTTAGATTTCTTGGCTTCATGTGCAAATTGGAGTCATTTTCCTTTTTTTGTGAATGTCATAAACACATGTTATATGGTTCAAGAGTAGCAGTCCTTGGAGTTTGTTATGATATTTTTCTACTTGCTGTCCCCTGTGTCAAAGGGCCTTTTTTTAAAAATTGGAATTGTTGTAAATTAGTCTAACACTGCATTTCTGAGTGATTAGCAATGATCTTTAAGGGCCATTTGAGCTGAAGCTTTTTGCCATGTCATTTGTTAGGAGACCAGTTCTGGAGAAGGCTTTTCAACTGGCCAGATGTGCCATTTTGGAACAGATTGAGGGCCTGCCAAAACACCATTTGTTGCCAGTACCGGATATTGCCAGGATGCTCATCACCCTGTTACCATATTTTTGCACTTCTCAACATTGCATAAATAGGCAGCTGTTCCATATTTAGAACATAAATAAGTCACCAGCTTGCTCTCCCTGGAGGATTTACCTGAAAGAGGGAACCACAGGGTTAACCCTTCCTCATCCCTTGCATGAAAGTCATGTTTAAATGCACACTTCCCTCACTCCCTTCAGAAGCAAATCCTCATGCATATAAATCACACCTTTCTTGCCAGTTAGACAAGGGGACGAAAATGTGCAGTTCACAGTGCTAAAATAGAACACATTTCCTTAGCAGTGAGAGCAGCAAATTAATCAGCTTACAAGCCAAGAGCGAGCAATTTGTGCCGAACTCTTTCTTACTGCTCCTTCAATTGGAGACAAGTTCTCTAATCTTGCAAAGGGCCATGACTTCATTAAGATGGAAAACCCTGTTAAAGGATGTGTTGCAAGGCACAAGGAAAGAAAAGCCCTAAAAGTCACTAGTTGTCTCTCTGGACCTCTTTTCAGGACAGGTTTTTTTTTTTTTTAATTATTATTATTATTTATTTGGAGAATGACAATTAACCTAGAGCCTTGGCACAACAAAGGAGCAAAGAGTTGAAGTAGGTCTCATTACAGGACAGCAAACACAGTTGGTTTGACCTAATCCCCATTTGCAGCACATGATTTACATTACAGGATAACACAGGCTGCCTAATGCTGATTTCAGACAGCATTACGCGTGCGTGCATACACACACACACACACACACACAGAGTCTTCTAGAAGTTCATGGAAATGCGTGTTGTGAAAAGGCTATGCATGAAGTTCAATATTTCCGTGTCTAAATCAACTTCCTTTATTATTATTTATACGTGAGACAGAGCAAGTGAGAGAGCACGAGCGCATTCCCATCTACTGGTTCACTTCCCAAATGCCCATCATGGGTGGGTCTGGACTAGGGGCAAAGCTGGGAGCCAGGACATTTACCAGGAAGTCAGAGTCAGCAGCCAAAGCTGAGATTGAACTCAGGAAATCCCTAGACACAGGTGTCTTAATCACTAGGCTAAACACTTGCTCTGAAACTTATGTTTTAATGACATTTTCTACAAATTTGTTTAAGATTTACTTATTTATTTGAAAGAAATCAGAGAGAGGGAGAGAGATGGAGAGACAGAGAGATCTTCCATCCTCTGGTTTAATTCCTAGATGGCCGCAACAGGCAGCGCTCGGGCCAGGCCAAAGCCTGGAGCCAGGAGATTCTTCCAGGTCTCCCATGAGGGTAGCAGGAGTCCAAGCACTTAGTCCATCTTCCACTGCTTTTCCCAGGCCATCAGGAGGGAGCTGGATCAGAAGTGGAGCAGCCAGGACATGAACCTGGGTCTATATGGGATGCCAGCATTGCAAGTGGCATCTTTACCTGCTACACCACAATGCCAGCCCCCCACAACATTTTTGAAGTGTGTGTGTTTAAACACAAGTTACATCCTATGTACGGTAGAACCATTTGTCACTGTTGGAGTAAGAAAAGTGAAGGCAGTTAGGAAAAGTGGAGGCAGTTAATGCAAGGTGTATATTAGCTTATCTGCAATATTTTTTTGAATGTTTAGCATACAGGCATAGCCCTGTTTAGCAAGTGAACCCAGCATTCTGCAGTCAGATGAGGCCAAGTCATTTCTCCAGGCTTTTCATCTTGCCAACAGCAGAAAAGCACTTGCTGATGGATAGGTGACATTTGGAGAGCCAGGCCTGCCAGATTTTTGGAGGTTATGATGGAGGTCCAACCTGCTGTTCTCCTTAATGAAAGCAGGGGAAATTCAGACTGGCAACACTGCTATAAGGCATAGCTCTGCTCTGAAAGTCGTGCTGCCCAGATGTCACTTGGCAGGTGGAGATGGCGAGACAATGAGAATGTTACCCTGTGGATGTGGGTGCTGGTGCACTGCGAGTGTGAACAATAAGTCTATATTCTGAAGTATAATGAATACTGTGTGGGTCTTGCCATATTCATGTCCTGAGAAAGGCCTTTCTCAAAGAGGACTCACTCCACTCCCCCTCACAGACTGACATGCTTATGTACACTCAAACCATGTGCATGTGACCTGTATCGGGTCCTACTACATGCTTAATACTTATTTTTTATGTAGTTGTGTGTGTGTGTATATGTATGAGTACTTCTGAAATTTCATGGAAATTGGAATTAAAATATGTTTATCTTGGTGCTAAGAAATTTTGAAATCCATGCATATGAGAGATCATCAAAAAATTCATAAAAAGTACGTATTATAAAACACTTATACATGAATTTCAAAATGTTTTGCACCAAAATCACAATTATCTTTTAATCCCATTGGCAATAAACATTTTAAAGAGCCTTGATATATATTTTTTCTTTATGGAAAATAGAATATTACTTTAATAGTTTTATAGCTTGCTTTTTTCATTATAAATATTTCTCATCTTGTTTTCCTTAGGCTTCTATGTTTTCACTGCACTTTGGAGTGAGGGTACGTGATCTTATGGTCAGCCACTCCCCTACTGATGGGCACATAGGTTGCCTCTCAGGTATTTTAAGCAGAGCGAGACTGTGTTCTCAGTCAGCATCTAGGCAGTTTTTACTAAAAGATAGACTCAAAATTACCTTTCGCAACATCTAGCCGAAGTGACTGACATAGAGTTTTCTTTTTCTTTTCAGTGTTACGAGATGACTTTCGGCAAAACCCCACAGATGTTGTGGTGGCAGCTGGCGAGCCCGCAATCCTGGAGTGCCAGCCTCCCCGGGGACACCCAGAACCTACCATCTACTGGAAAAAGGACAAAATTCGAATCGATGACAAGGAAGAGAGAATAAGTGTGAGTTACATGAAAGTGATAGCTTAGAGCAGGAATTTTAAGTCTAGAAAGACGTCCTTGGTTTATAAATAAAATTGTATTTGATTGCTAATGACCATTTACACTAAATGGAAAGGCTTTGAAAACATAAACTTTGGAATCAGGCTTCAGAATCCAAAAAGTTATACATCAGGTTATATGATATATCAGTCAGTTCACCAGTACAAGTGTGTGTATATATCTTGGTTATACAATGTTGATGTCATGGCTGTTTTTTAAGAACTGCAAAGGTTTCTATTGATCATGCAGTCCCTGGGTGTGAAAGTATCAATGCTAGTCATAAACCATATTCACTGTAACATCTCATTTTGCCCTATTTCAGGACTACAGGAGGAAGTAATTTAAGATGAACATCTCAAATACTTAATTTAGATTTTCCAACTAAATAATACTTATGACAGTGAAGTTTTATATCTGCATTAATTGAGAAGTAAATTTAATAGCTGTAAAATAAAATTAAATAGAATGAGTGGCTGATTTTGCAGTTTAGCTCATATAGAGAAATACTTCATTTTTCAAAGGAAATGGATGATCAGGTTTATTGTAATTCAAAATGAAGCTCCCAGAACCTGCTAAATAGGTAGAGTGGGTAGATGGCATTTTATTTTTTTCAGAGGATCCACTGAACATTTGTATGTGAAGTTTGTGAGAATCCAGTCCAATGAAATACAACCTAATGCCTTCCATTATTAGTAGTATAATTTTATATTAAATACAATAAATAAGAGTAGATGAAAAAAAGGTAAATGTATTTTATTTAAAAAAGACCTCATTTGGCTGAACCAGTGTACCATTTTAATGAAAAATTCATGTACTCTGGGTGGCTATTTTGTTTAAAAACATGTTTATTATGAATAGGATTTTCTTTTGGGCACATTGTGATTACAGAATAATGCAAACTATTAACTCTTAAACTTAATGTTTAAGAGATCACAACATACATTCTTATGTTTCTGGCTTGGCTCACGCTGTGGGGATCTACATTACGAAAGAGCATTTGGTCTTCAATGTTCTATGGTTGGGCATGAAAATATATTCCTAATAACGGAGTAAAACCAATGTTCAAGGATTTCTAATTCAAATTTGCAGTATTCAGCTTTTGCTTTGTAACAAACTATCCCAAAATACATAGGCATGTGGTAACCATCTTATTTAGTGTATGATTATGAGGGAAAGCTGATGGTTCTGTTCTGAACCGTCTTGGTTGACCTGTGCCAGACCTTCTTCTTCTGTGGCCTGTTTAAAGGTATATTACAAGCTACATGATCCTGGATGACCACAGGCCTGACAGTTAGGTCTCAGCTGGGTGATTAGTCTGCTTTCATAACTTTAACTAAAATATGCAAAGGAATCTTCTAAGGAAACACAAAGCTTATTTCAGCTTACACTTGAAGGCTTAAGTTCAGGATCAGGCAGCCCCATAGACCAATGTCTGATTGAGGCTGGTCATCGTGGGCACAGAGGAACAACCACGTGGTGACCCAGGAAGCAGAGAGGAGAGAGAGAGCACAGCTAGGCAGAAGTTGAATTCCAGTAATGATCAAAACTCTAAGAAGAACAATTTGCTGTGGGCATGTCCCCAGTGACTCAAAAACCTCCCACCAGACACCCGTGTGAGGTGCTATAATGAGATCAAGTCTCTAGCCTTAACCCATCAGCTGTTAACATTAAGATCTCAGAGTGCAGAAATGTGTCTGAGTTTGGGGAAGGCACGTCCTAGTTAACCTGTAACTCTTGGGCATCCCAGTCCTCTGTCTCGTGGCCTCTAATTTTCTCGCTGGCCAGCTAAGGTTAGTTCCCACTGTCTCAGGCTTCCAACTGCAGCAAGGCATGTTGAGTCACAGAGTGTAGGCATCTTTCTTATGAAATAATTGCCTTAGTTTCATTGGTCTGATCAAGTCATAGTGTGAAGATCAGCTTCATGGGAAAGAAAAATGCCCTCATGGCCATTGTCATTACGTCCCATTATGCCTTACTATGTATAATTGAGACACCAATAATGATCTTTTCCTCTCATGTGAAAAAAAAAGGCAGAAATACATTTATGTAACATGACAAGTTTTAGAACTTGAAATATCTCTGAGAACAAACTTCCATGTATTTTGTTTTCCTATGAAATAAAAAGAATAGTGGAAGCAACCAGAATTATCTCACATCTCTTTAAGAACAGTTATTATAAAGATTATTGAATCCAATTCAACCAAGACAGAAAAAAAAAAAAACTAGAAAGGAAACTATAAGTGATGCTGTGCTTACTAAAAGCCTAACTCTGCTATAGTGTGATGCTTAGTAAATAGCTTAATACTATTTCATCAATTCACTCAGTCAATAAATGCTTACTTTTTAAGCAATACCTAGGGATCCCCTGTTAGTTCCAATGATTTGTTCCAGCTCACACTCATCATTTAATTTCTTTTTAATCCAACCAGCTCTTTTCACCAAAGATTGTCACTTAAATGCAATGAAGATGAGACAAATTAACAATAACAAGTGAAATATAAGGTCCACAAAGGCAGAGATGTGTGCTTTGGGGTTATTCCCGAGTCCCAGATGCCTAGAACACTGTTTGTCCTACAGAGTACGTGTAAACTCTATGCCTTGCTGGATCTCTGTAAGTCAGCAGGATTTTATTATTGTATCCAAAATAGATATAATTGTATAATGTATAATTGTATAATGTTCTTTTCTGATGACAAATGACAATAGCAACTCTTTCAGTACAGTCTCAGGGTGTGGACAGGTTCCTAGGACTTAGTGGGCACAATTATAAGATTCAGATATTACCAGGTAAAAGTAAGGAAGGCTGATTAGAAGAAGCACTCTCCAAGAGGGAAACATGTAGACTGATGCTGAAGGTGAATTTAAGACGTTTTTGAAGATGCCAAAAGAGACTTTCATGTCTTAGATACTCAGTTATTTTCTTCTGAAAGAAAATCGTGTGCGTATATATTCAAAATTATTTACTAGTGACCTTTGATTTCCATTTCTGTTTCTGTTCTTTCCCTTTTTTTGTTTTATTTAATTTGAACAGATTCGAGGTGGAAAACTGATGATCTCCAATACCAGAAAAAGTGACGCAGGAATGTACACCTGTGTGGGCACCAATATGGTGGGAGAAAGAGACAGTGACCCAGCAGAGCTGACTGTCTTTGGTAAAAACTCTCCTTTAAATGAGAAATTTCTAATTAAATCTACTTTTCCTTTGCTTTTAAATATTTTTACATATTTAAATATTCCTAAAAAATATATGGACCATACTCAATACTTGTGATAAGCAATGACAGTTAAGAAGTGGTGGGTTATTTTTTTGTTTTTCTAATGAAACATATGATGTGAAGATAAAAATTTTGCTAAAACATTAGTTCACTTTCTTTACTCAGATTTTTTTATAGGATTTGGCCTTTCTTAGAAATGTAAAGCAAATTTTTTTTTTCAAACTATTTGAGACATTGCATCCATCTGAAGTGCATCACTGGTTTTACTATGATACAAGTAGAAGTTGTTACTACTTGCAAGATATAGGGGAAGTTTTTCAATATTAAAGATGCTTGTTTTCCACTTCTTCAAATTTCAGATTATGGTCCTTGTAGGTTTAAAGATTCAAAGACTGTTTATCTTATTATATGTATATATACTTGAGTGTATGTGTCTTCCTTTGCCTTATATACACACAGACACACTCAGGCACAGAAGAATTGGCTATTACCAATACTGTGTGTTTTTTTAAGGTACAAGAGATTATTGTGATTTTTAAATTACAGATCTTTGCTCATTCAATAATCCTCTGGTTCAGTGCATGATATGATGGGATCCCTTCCTGTTTCTGTCATTACTACAGGGCACACCAAAGTGTAGCCCCCAAATCCTTTACAGATCTCTAAAGAAACTTCTGGTGTGAGATGAGGGCTCGGATCGAAAGAGCTGTGTTATGATTTCCATTCCATTTCAAGAGTTAAGGTTGTGCTTTATGAATATGTACCAGAGTAGCGCAGGCCTTTCTTTTCAATCACTCTGAGTACCAAGTAATCTCTCCTAATACTCCCTGTGGATACTAAGCAGCTTGAAGTCCCAAATGACAAAGCCAGGAGAAATCCCATAATTCATTAGAGGAATTGACTAGTAAAAATAAAACTGTTCAAAGTATGCATGCAAATGTCTGTCCTGCAGAGCTCAGACAAGTATCAGTTTGCCCCTAAATTCCATGCTGTCATCGAGAAGAGTCTCAAAATGGGCTCCACTCTGAAATGAATTAAGTACAGCTTTGCCTGGTGACATATGAAATTAGTGGTCACCGAACATTGCCACTGAAAACCCACAAGCGTAACTCTTCTATTTAAAGAAACACTCCTTGGTAGTTTTCTTTAACTACTGCTTGCTTTGGAATGGATGAGAACTGAAATACAGCAGTGTAGACCACCTTCAGAAGGAAATTGAAAGGATTTAATGTTGTTAACCATGCTATTAGAATTACCGGTAATGTGACTGTGTTATGAAACATTTACCCTACTTTCCCTAAAGGCATGATGAGAACTCCAGGACATCCCTAAACTTGTCAAACAGTATGAGAGGACTTATAAATTATTTTGGAAATAGCTATCAACCCAAGAGATTGGATTTGTCTGGAGGTAGTTCCTCCGGAAGAGTTGATTTAGAAAATCTAGAAACCTTTATCTGGTGGTAAAAACTAGTCAGAACTGACTTGAGGGGTCCCAAGTACAAGATTCAGTAGAGGAAGATGCTAAAATTCCATTTTCGATAAGCAAACAATGTCTAAAACCTGGAGAAAACCAGAAAATAGAAGAGAGGCCCAAACAAAGGCTGAAACAAGTACTGCATGAGAAATATCCTACTGTACACTGACTCTCTGCTCTGGGAGAGCATGAAATATATCATATGATATTGATGGCGAGATCTCCTTTATTTCATGTTGGTGCTCTCGTTTCCTATACATGTTTTCTAATAAACTTCTGATATTTCATCATTGTTAGGTATTTATATTTATGACTAATGTTTATAAGCCCGATTACATTTCACAGTCTTCACCCTGCCATTGTTTTCAGGTAGCAGCACTTCCACTTAAAAAAATCTGCCTACCATCACCACTCTGTAGCTACTATAAGAAGGCTTTAAATTTTATTTATTTAGTTAATTTGTGAGAGAAAGAGAGAGAGACATACAGACAGACCGATCCCATGTGCTGGTTCACTCTCCAAATACCTGCAACAACAAGAGCTTTGTTAAAACCAAAACTGGGAGAAGGGAGCTTAATCCAGGCCTCCCATGTGGGTGGCAGGGACTCAACTATTTGAGCCATCACTGCTGCCTCCCAGGGTCTGGATTAGCAAGACACTGGTATCAGGAGCAGAGCTGAGACATGAATAGGTGCTCAATATTTGTATATAGGTATCTAAGCCAGTGTATTAACAGCCACTCCAGAAGGAAGATTATTTTTTAAAGATTTATTTTATTTATTTGAAAAGCAGGGTTAAAGGTTACAGAGAGATAAAAAGGGAGAGATGGAGGGAGAGAGAGATCTCCATCCACTGGTTCACTCAGCAAATGGCCACAGTGGCCAGGGCTGGACCAGACCTCAGCCAGGAGCCAGGAACATCTTCCAGGTCTTCCATGTGGGTACAGGGGCCTAAGCACTTGGGCCATCAGAAGGAAGGTTATTAAATGACTTTTACAACATCAGTCTTGACCTTAAGATGTGTTACACAAGAAAAGTAACTGATTATATTTAACTGTTCATGAATTACAGTTTACTTGTAAACAACAGGAAAAGCAATGACAAAATAAAGGGCTTTTTCCAGTTTCTAATTTTTACCAGCCATACCATAACCATTTACCTTCTAAAATCCTTTCTTGAAAAAAATTCATTCTCCATTTTTCAAGTATTGTGATTCATTACGTAATTGACTTGGGCTTACAGTTTTGCATTTGCAGATTTAACTTAGATTTTTTTTTTAATTTTTTTTTAAACTTTTATTTAATGCATATAATTTTCCAAAGTACGACTTATGGATTACAATGGCTTCCCCCCCATACCGTCCCTCCCACCCACAACCCTCCCCTTTCCCACTCCCTCTCCCCTTCCATTCACATCAAGATTCATTTTCGATTATCTTAATATACAGAAGATCAGCTTAGTATACATTAAGTATGGATTTCAACAGTTTGCTCCCACACAGAAACATAAAGTGAAAAATAATAGATGATTTTTTTTAAATGATGATGAAATCAGAGCAGACCTATTGTCATGTTTAATCCCAGTGAGAGTCAAGTTGGGAATTGATAATTTCTTTTTTTTTTCTTTTTTTTTTTCTTTTTTTTTTTACAGAGGATCAGTTTAGTATGCATTAAGTAAGGATTTCAACAGTTTGCACCCCCATAGAAACACAAAGTGAACTATATTGTTTGAGTACTCGTTATAGCATTAAATCTCAATGTACAGCACATTAAGGATAGAGATCCTACATGAGGAGTAAGTGCACAGTGACTCCTGTTGTTGACTTTACCAATTGACACTCCTGTCTATGGCATCAGTAATCTCCCTATGCTCCAGTCATGAGTTTCCAAGGCTATGGAAGCCCTCTGAGTTCTCCGACTCTTATCTTGTTTAGACAAGGTCATAGTCAAAGTGGAGGTTCTCTCCTCCCTTCAGAGAAAGGTACCTCCTTCTTTGATGACCTGTTCTTTCCACTGGGATCTCACTCGCAGAGATCTTTTGCCAGAGTGTCTTGGCTTTCCATGCCTGAAATACTCTCATGAGCTCTTCAGCCAGCTCCGAATGCCTTTAGGGCTGATTCTGAGGCCAGAGTGCTATTTAGGACATCTGCCATTCTATGAGTCTGCTGAGTATCTCACTTCCCATGTTGGATCACTCTCCCCTTTATTTACTCCATCAGTTAGCGTTAGCAGGTACTAGACTTGTCTATGTGCTCCCTTTGACTCCCAGTCCCTTCACCATGACCAACTGTGAACTGAAACTGATCACCTGGAACAGTGAGAGGGCATTGGTACATGCCACCTCGATGGGATTGAATTGGAATCCCCTGGTATGCTTCCAACTCCACCACTTGGGGCAAGTCAGCCTGAGCATGTCCCAAATTATACATCTCTTCCCTCTCCCATTCCCACTCCCATGTTCAACAGGGATCACATTTCTTAACTTAGATTTTAATTGCCGTTTTGACAAAGACATGATACATGTAACAAAATTTTTTAGAAAAATTATGGCACCATAGTCCATGAATTTTTTATTCTCTTTTTTTCTTCTACAGTATTTCCTGACCATGAAATAACATGCTAATTAAGAGGGCATTATCAAATCTAAAAGTTAGGAGTTAGTATCCTGGTCTAAAATGACACTAAAATCTATGGCACTCTGGGTGACTTCAAAAAGAACACCCCTAAGCACTTTATATATGTTAAGTTTAGAATATCGTGAGAGTAGAGAAGCTAGAGTTGAAGTGCACATTTTTTTTTAATTATGGGTAGATTTGCAATGTCTGCTATCCAAATTTCTCTTTAAAATATAACCTGAATTGTTTCCAAATGATTTTGTAATGCTTGTCAACAAGAGCGGAAAACATATTTAATGTGTAACATTTCAAATGCAGATTATATATCTTACAATACTTCAAGGAAATACAGAAACATCTTTCTCACACCTTCCCAGTATGCACACATGGACACATCCTTCATCTTTAAACATTTCTTCAATTTTGTTTTCTCTTTTACTTGTAGGATTTATTTCCATATTTTATGTTCATTCTGCATTCATCAGTATAGCAGTTTTATACACTGTTTGACATACTGTTATGGAAGATAATGGTTTGGTCCATGGATATCTCCTTCCCCATCTTCTCACATCCAGTTTCTTGTTTGTCTTTCTAATATACTAACTAGAGGAACAATAGTTGTTTCAATATCTAGATTTTGAGTTATAACCATGTGACTTACTGAGAGCTGAGTGTTGTATGTTGTAGTCTTAGATTATATTTCTTTGCTGATACTAATTGTGGTCTTCATGAATAGTAAGCTTTTTATTTTTATTTTTTTTTACATTTACTTGTGTGTGTTGTTTTCTTTCACCTGCCAAGAATTGTTAAAATCTCTTACAGGTATCTTATGATCTTCTGAATTCTGC